TGTATACCCTCAACGACCGGGAGGTACACTCTCCGTCGTTGAGAATGTAAACCCTCGACGGCCGGGAGGAATCCTCTCGGCCGTCGAGAGTGTATACCCTCAACGACCGGGAGGTACACTCTCGGCCGTTGAGGGTTTACATTCTCAACGAACAAGAGGAAACCCTCTCGGCTGTTGAGGTGTACACCCTCAATGGCCGAGAACTTTGCTCGGCCGTTGAGGGGTACACCCTCGACGGCCGAGAGGTCTCAACGGCCAAGAAGTTTCCCTTCGGCCGTTGAGGTGTACACCCTCCACCGCCAAGAGAAACTCTCGGCCGTTGAGGGTTATACTCAACGGCCAAGAGAAACCCTCTCGGCCGTTGAGGTTGTAGACCCTCGACGGCTGAGAGAAACTCTCTCGGCCGTCGAGAGCACTCTCCGCGGCCGGGAGCGCGGCCGGGAGGAATCCTCCCGGCCACTGGTTTTTTTTTTTTGATCACCGACCCCCCAAAACAAGTGGTTTTGGGGCATCGACACCCAACCCCTCCGGGGTTTTTCTTTTTTTTTATTTAAATTTTTTGGGGGGACCGACTCCCAAACCCAAGGATGGATTTGGGGAATCGACTCCCAAATTTCGGGGAAACCCGGGTTTGGGAGTCGACTCTCCAATTTTTGGGAGTCGGTTGACCAACTCCCCAAAACATAAGATCAAGACATCTCAAAATCATCATCACCATCGACTCCATGGCTGTTCTTAAAGGAATCTGAGTCCGGCTTGGTAAGATTTTGTTGAATGTTATTTTGGTCGATCAGGTAGCGGAGCATGTATGTATTTGAATTGGATCTATATACCGTGGCAGTTGATGAGAAAAATCAGTACCAGACACTGTGAGCTCTGTCTAACTGAAGATGATCTTCAGTCTGAAAAGTAGAAAACATGGGACAAAGACTTACAGTTTAGAAACAGATGAATGGGAGTCAATGAGAGCTTTTTGGAGAGAGCACATGACAGGCACAACTATGTTGGAGCAATTCTTGAGATATCATCCATGAGAGGTGAGGGTGAAGTTAATCCAGGTGAGATTGAACTGGAAAAGATTAGATGTGCCATCAATCATGGCTTTCGAGATGAATTCAAGCAGTCTAGATACATAAGTTGGGGGAAGTTGTGCGGCTATGATCTTGATTTCTTTGAACGGGATCAATTGGTAGACGGATTTGATCACATATCTCTCATTCAATCTGAATGCCATCACAAGTGCTTTGAGGTATTCTTATTTCTCCATGGTTTCCTGGATCGATGTAGGGGTGATCTTGATCATTAGTTCAAAGGAATCAAAGTGTATCGTATTGTCTAAGGAATACAGTAGTAACCAGCAGACCGCTGCTCAAGTGCAAACGGAAGCTGTGTAGACTCGTCGTCCGACTGTAGATTGCTTCAAATAATACTCCTTGTTTGAGGGCATTCGAGACCGTTGAGAGTGGCATGATGAATGGAACTGTTCATCTCGTTGGTGTTTGTAGAATGTGAGGGAGGGTGGTGGGTGATGGTGATGTGGTTGGTGAAGTCGATGTTTTTTCTTTTGGGTGATTTCACTCGGTCAGGTTAGGGGGACAACTGGTTGGACACCTGTGGGTGTAATTTTACAAAATGTGACCGACAGAAGGATGTATTTAGAGATTTGGAGTTTTGAGGTGCAAATGTTTTTCTGCGGGGCCCGCAGAACCAACAGGAAGTCCTCCAGTACTGGATGTCTTCCCGTCGCAGTTTACAACCCTCCCAGAATTGAATTAACACCCCCTGGATCTTAATTTTTGGTATAAAATATTGTTTTTTTGCAGGCCTGGTGAAGATAGCTCTCACCTGAGCTGGTTGGAATTATGATTGGGGTGCTAATTTAAGACTGGGGAGG